AGCGTTAAAGGTTTTTATACAAGAAAACAGTATCCTGGAAGTCATGCTATCTTTTTATCTATTTAACACATTGATTTGACCTGATCTGACTTGATTGTTTCCCTTGAGCCGGTTCAATTACCCGTTTTTCTTCAAATTTTCAATATTCACTCAAAAACCAAATTCTCTTCTCCAGTGACTTCCAGAACCTCCAAAAAAGTGTTAACTTTTGTAAAATTTGATTTACTTATCGTTTTTTTCAAGTCGAGACACTTCTCGGCTTTACTTAGGGTTTTTCTCGGCGATTTTCTCGGCCGATCCATCGGCGAGCCGTACAAATAACGACAAATAACGATTTGTACGGCTCATCGATGGGTTGGCCCCAAGATCAACTCATCAGGAAAACTGAAAAAGCAGTAAAACAGCTGAAAATAGGCAAAGAGTTTAGGCTAATCGGCTAATTTTTCTTGGTTTCTCCTCTCAATTAGCCCGATTGTGTCTTCTTCCACTTCTTTCCCCCCACAAAATTCCTCCTTTGACCCAGTTTTTGCGCAAAAATTTCCCCCAAGTACCCTCGAAGAGTGGAGTGAGAGTCCCCCGCTTCCACTCCTTCCACTCCTTCCACTCCTTCCACTCCTTCCACTCCTTCCACTCCTTCCACTCCTTCCACTCCTTCCACTCCTTCCACTCCTTCCACTCCTTCCACTCCTTCCACTCCTTCCACTCCTTCCACTCCTTCCACTCCTTCCACTCCTTCCACTCCTTCCACTCCTTCCACTCCTTCCACTCCTTCCACTCCTTCCACTCCTTCCACTCCTTCCACTCCTTCCACTCCTTCCACTCCTTCCACTTCGAAAGATCGAGAAATCCGAGTTCCTCGCCTCAACTTCATTAGTCTACGTCAATTTTCGTCATTAAGCTCACTTTTGAATTTCCTGGATGGCACAGCAATTTCCTGTATTCTTTCGTTGTCGCTTTATTCAATTTTGAAAAATTCATCTTTCTCAATTTTGTCTCTGACCGTTTTCCGCTTTTTTTGGAGTCAATTTTTGAAAACTTTTTTTATTTTCGACTATTCTGGAGGGCATTCTTGAGATCAAGATAGAGAAATTTGCATTTAACAATTTGCATCCCAATTTGCATCCCAATCTGGCTAATTTGCATTTAACTCGATTTCTCTGTGGGTAGTTGAACCTCGAAAATTCAAATCTCCAAGGAATCGTAAAAATTTGCAGATAACTTTTTGTTGTGATATCCAGATCGTTTGCCGGAATTGGTTTCAAGCGGGAAAACATAGTGGGCGCTGGTGGAGGGGGGGAGGAGGAGGAGGAGGAGATGGAGGGGATGAAGAAGAGGGAGGAGATGGAGAAGATGGAGGAGATGGAGAAGAGGGAGAAGAGGGAGAAGAGGGAGAAGATGGAGAAGATGGAGGAGGAGGAGGAGGAGGAGGAGGAGGAGGAGGAAGAGGAGGAGGAGGAGGAGGGTGAGCGCCAGAGGACCCTGGAGAATTTGGGAAATCACTGAAAAACTCGGCGATAAAGTTTCGATGTGCGTTCCAATTCGCCGAATGGCACTCAAGAAAATGGGATTTTATGTGAAAAAGTGATAGTTTTAAGGGTGATTGGGAAAGATGATGATGCTGGGGACCTACAGCGTTGCCTCTTCTCTTCTATTCCCTAAATATTTTCCCAATTATTTCCATTCCAATTCTGAAACGCATTTTGGAAGATTTCCATTGAAATTCGTCGAATTTCATTTGAATTTCCCTTTCGGGAAACCGATTTTTCGAAGCTGCTCATTTTTTACCAGTTGCAGACTTTGAAAAGAGTTGAAACTTTTAAAAATTATCAATCTGGATGTCATTCTTGAAAAATCAAAGGTGATTAGAGTGATTTTTACATTTCCAAAACACTCCAAATTCCGTAAGGCTCAGGCTTAGGCTTAGGCTTAGGCTTAGGCTTTGCTGTCAGTGTTGGTTTCCGCTGTCCCCCGGGGATTGCCTCCTGATGCATCTCTGATAGATTTTCTGATAGATTTCTGATATTCAAAATTTTTGAATTCTCAAAAAAAATTCTCAAAAAAAAAAGGCCAAAAAAATCGCCAAAAAAAAACGCCAAAAAAAAATCGCCAAAAAAAAACGCCAAAACTCTAGAAAATTGCCTTTAAAATGCACAAAATAGATCTAGAAAGAATCGAATTTCAATTGAGATTCCAAGCAGATCGGAGATTATTTGGGCCGGCTGTCCCCCGGGGATTGCCTCCTCTTTTTCCCCTCCTCGATTCCTTTCCCCTTTCCCCTTTCCCCTTCCCATCTTTCATCCCAAGGTCATCATTTCTGATAGAAAAATTGCCTAACAGATGCCTAACAGAACGAACAGATTCCTTTAAATGGAATTCTTTTCAATTTTTCAATTTTGGGATTTTGGGATTTTTCAATTTTTCTGATTTTCGATTTTTTTTACTTTTCTTCTTTCAATCTCTCTTATTTCTTTCAATAAATTTTAATTGAATAGCTGAATTTTAATCTAGATTTCCATCTGAAATGTTTAGACTTCGTTTAGCTTGAAAGCCAGCCTGCGCCTTGGTTGAGTTGCCTGGTCAGAGTTGTTCCTAGGACCAAACTAGCACCAAGATAGGCCATGTGTCGACTTTGGCCTGACCTGGCTTGACCTGGCTTGACCTGGCCTAGCATTCTTGAAAATTGCTTGGAAATTTAGCCAATCTGGAACGCATTTCAGCTTTTCTACAAGCCTTGAAAGCTTTAGGAAACAAACGGGCCAAGTTGGTTTCCACTGTCAGTGTTCAGCATCAAATTTTCCGTTTACGATAACTTTTGTGGGGATTTTTTGTGAAATTCAGCCAATCTGGAGCGCACGCCTACTTTTCCATAAGTTTTGAAAGCTTTGGTCGCAAATCGGCCAAGTTGGTTTTCACTGTGTCAGTGTTGGGTGCGAAATCTTTCCTTTCCAACAACTTTTATGGAATCTTTTGTGAAATTCAGCCAATCTGGAGCGCACGCCTACTTTTCCATAAGTTTTGAAAGCTTTGGTCGCAAATCGGCCAAGTTGGTTTCCGCTGTCAGTGTTCAGAGTCAAATTTTCCGTTTCCGATAACCTTTGTGGGGATTTTTTGTGAAATTCAGCCAATCTGGAGCGCACGCCTACTTTTCCATAAGTTTTGAAAGCTTTGACCGCAAATCGGCCAAGTTGGTTTTCGCTGTGTCATTGTTGGGTGTCAAATTTTTCTATTTTTATGGCCTTGAAAAGTCATGAAACGCCCCGTGTATCAAATCAATAAACATCATGATTTTTTGGGGAACAAAACCACACACACAGAGAAGCACTTTGTCTCTAATGGATCCTTTGGTGTCGTTGAGAGAGAGCAGTGAAATCGAATCCCCAAATTTTCTTGTCTATTGGCCCCAAACAGACACGCTGAAAGCCGAAAAAAATTGTTAAAAAAAGACCAAAGAAAAGATGTCAATCAAAAATCGCCCAAATGAGTCGAGAAATGAGAAAAAAGGCCGGAGAAAGCCGGGAAAGCCAAGAAAGCCGCGAGAAGCCGCAAAAAGCTTGCCATTCCTCATTTCGACAATTTGCTTCTTCCTCTCCTTCCTCTCCTTCCTTCCCTTCCTTCCCTTCCTTCCTTTCCTCTCCCCTTTCCCATGATCAGATCAATTTCCCAGCCCTGAAAACATGTGATAATAAGTTTTTTCAAATTTTTGCCCAAGCTGGAACGCAATTTAGCCATTTAAGCTTTGAAAAATCAATCATTCCTCATTTTGAAATCTCCAGCTCCTGCTCACCTGAGCTGATCGATTTTCTGCCTCCAAAAACATCAAAAACCATTTCTTTCATAAATTTTTCATCAATCTGGAGCACAGTATGGCTATCTACATCTTTAGAAATTAATTTTAATAAAAAAAATTTTGAAAAAAAAAATTTTGATAAAAAAAAATTTTGTCAATTTTTTTTGACTACCCAAAAGTTTGAAAAATATTTTTCAAAAAAATTTCATTTTTTTTATTCGACTTTTTTTGAAATCATTTTCCTCGTAAAAGCTCTTGTGCGTGCCAGAATTGACAAAAAATAGCATAGAAATGTTTTTCCGTTTTCTAAAAGCTTTGTTTCCTCTCGAAGATGTAGGCGAGGCTCAATCAAAGGCGACTCTCGGAGTTTTCCGGTCGATTGCACATCCATTTTCCCTCGGCAGATCTCCCAAAGCTTTTAGCATTTAACCGGATGACTTTTAAGCGTCTCAAAGTCTAGAAAATTGCATTTAAATCAGTAAATTTTCAGCCGTAAACAGGACGTCATTTGGAAAGTTGCGTTCTTCGTAACTGAATTTTTAAAAATTAAAATATTTGTTTAATTTTCTTTTCTTTACCTCTCCTGACATCCAGAATAGCCAAATTCGTTTTAATTTTTGCCTTTCGACAAATTTGCATATGAAATTTTGGCTTAAAGTCTTTTCAAGCGTTTTCTGATGTTAAAAAATTCAAAAAATTCACCAATTTTCATTTTATTTCCTTTCCTGACATCCAAAATGGACAAAAAGTTAAAGGAATTTATTTCTCTGCAATTTTATCTCAGAGAATTTTGTGATGAACAATAACAGAGCCAAGACTGGGCTACGTTGCGCTCCAAAAGACGCCGTGTTTACGGCTGACTGTGCCAGGACTAGACCACGCTGAAATAGCGCTAACTTTGGCCTGATTCTGGCCACAAGTCTTTAATCTAATCAGCAATGGTCCTCTTCTGGACAAGAGCACTGGAAATGCTTCTTCTAGAAGAGCGTCAGCTCTCAACATCTTTCTTTTGCTAAGAGATGCTAAACGAAGTTAATTGCGGCTATCCTTTCTCTCTTTTTTTCGTCACAAGCTTTTCCCCAGAATTACAGAGATTTCCCGGAAAGAATCGCATTTTTTAGACATTGCAGATTTTTATTCAAGTCTTCTTCAAGAACAGAGTAAAGAACAAATTGAGAACTACCTCTGAACCAGAGGCCAAGTCGAGCTCTTATTCTGCTTCATAGGCTCCACAGGCTCCATAGGCTCCATAGGCTCCATAGGCTCCATAGGCTCCATAGGCTCCACAGGCTCCATAGGCTCCACAGGCTCCATAGGCTCCACAGGCTCCATAGGCTCCACAGGCTCCATAGGCTTCATAGGATCCATAGGATCCATAGGCTCCACAGGCCCCATAGGCTCCACAGGCTCCATAGGCTCCACAGGCTCCGTATGCTCTATAGGCTCCATAGGCTTATGCTTCACTGATCCCAGGGATTTCTGGCTGGCTGGTTAACCTGATATTTTCACTCGACTTTGTCATTCCTTTGATTTTGACAACTTTACTCTAATCTCTTGAAATTATTCGTGTTTTATCTCGAATTTCGAATCTCTTGAATTTTATCTTTCTCTTATCGCTTGAAAGCCTCTGGTGCTCCTCAGCTTCTTGAATTTTCAATGAGGAAGTGAGGGGGCAAAGCCGAACTTGTCCTCCTGTCAAGCGCACCTCCTTTCCTCCACTAAACACGCCATTTCCCCATTGGAATTATTTCGGTAACTCGTTTTTTTCAAAACTGGCACTCTCGCAGTTCAATTTTGAACTTTCTAAAAGAAAAAAAGGGCTTTTAAGCTTTTCTTTCTTTTAGTGGATTTGATCTTTCTTTAAAAGTGAGAATTTTTCAAATAAACTGAGAATTTTTTAATTTTTTTTTGTAAATTGGAACGCACAGAATTATTAGAGAGGTCAAAAATTTCGAAAAAAAAAAAAAAAAATTTTTTAAAAAACAAAAAAATATGAAAAGCTATCTAGATCAATTTTTTTTTAAATCATAAAATTTACTTAATTTTTCTTTCTTTACCTCTCCTGATATCCAGAATGGTTAAATTCGTTTCAATTTTTGACTTTCCACAAATTTGCATACAAAATTTGAAACCGAATTCCCGTTGGGAAAAATCCGGCTTTTAAAAATCAACAAAGAGCGTGTTTTTCGCTTGTTTTGGATAAAGAAATGGGAAATAAAGCCCCCAAAATGAAGTGTGGTGAGAGTTTTGATTAGCTCGGCGCACAAATGAAGTAAAAGAAGGGGGGTCTTCAAGCTGGCCAGGTGATGTGGGAGTCAGCCCTCCCCTCCCCCCCTCCCTCCAACTAATTCTCGTGCTTCCCCCCAATTTTTTTTCTTCCACAATCTTTTGTGACATCCAGATTAAATATCTCTTCAGGAAAAAAAACTAAAAAATCAACCGTTTTTGATTTTCGGCCTCGATCTCGATCACCGTCGAGTCATCGAGATTTTCGGGTATTTACTGCCCCTTCCAGAGCTCCGAAGATGGGAATAATGAAAGTGAATCCCAGAAAATGAATCCAACAAAAGCTAGAAACTATCTTTTCTCTCTTTTTTCCTTTTCAGAAAGCCCGATTTGATATATTTTTGGGAATTCTTGGCAGGTGACAGTGAAATGAAATTTTTTTGAAATTTTTAAAAATTCTTTTATCCATTGCTTTTCGTGACATCCAGAATTGCTAAAAATCTTAAAAATTTTCTTTTTTTATAAGTTTATATGCAAATTTTTCGAATCCAGCCCATCGAGGTTATGGTCAACTTTTAAAGGAAAAGATATTCAGCTAATTTCTTGAATCCATTGCTTTTCGTGACATCCAGAATTGCTAAAAATCTTAAAAATTTTCTTTTTTTATAAGTTTATATGCAAATTTTTCGAATGCAATGCTTCGAGGCTATAAGTCGACTTTTAAAGGAAAAGATATTCAGCTAATTTCTTGCAATCACTATTTTCCGTGACATCCAGGATCGCTTAAAATCATAAAAATTTTCTTTTTTTACAAGTTTATATGCAAATTTTTCGAGTGAAACCCATCGAGGCTATAAATTGACTTTCCAAGGAAAAGATATTCAGCTAGTTTCTTGTAGTCACTATTTTCTGTGACATCCAGAATTGCTAAAAATTTATTGGTTAGCCTATTTCTAATTGCACAACTTCACGAATGACTTTCAGAAAATGCCCGAAGTTTGCCCTTTCTCATTTTTCTTGCACTTTTTCTTTTTTTTTCTCTACTTTTTCTTTTTTCATTTTTACCATTCGCAATCTCTTTTTTTGGCCATCCAGAAAGAAGCTTTTCATTTGAAAATCCGTAAAACTCTAGCGCGGATCCGATGAAAGAACGAAGGCGACGAAAGATTGATCGATGAGTCGCCTCTGGACGAAGGGATTTTTCCTGACGACTTTCCTCATTCAACTATTGTTACTGTTTGATGGCGTTGAGGTAAACTATTAGCAATTTTTCATTGCAATCTGATTTTTGCGACATTTTTAGGGAAAAGGAAAGCGCCGAAAATGTCCGCCGAGTTCGTGGAGCGAAGGGAAAATCGTGAACACTGTGTTGTGCGTTTTTCATGGTTTTTATTGTCTAAATGGTTTCATTTGGGCTTAGCTTTGGCTAGCCTGCCTAAAATCGGTTTTTAAGTCAATTCTGGGGTTTTTGCTTGTTACTAGCTTGGTCTGGCTGTTACTAGCTTGGCTTAGCTTGGCTCTGATCCCTATCGAGATCAAGATTCTGGATTGGGTTTGAATCGGCTTTGAATCAGGCTTTGAATTAGGCCCGAATCAAGCCTGAATCGGCCTTAAATCGACTTTGAACTGGCTTTGAATCAGACCCGAATCGGTCTTGAATCGGCCTTGAATCAAACCCATTCGGTCTTGAATCGGCTTTGAATCAGATCCGAATCGGTCTTGGATCGGCCTTTAATCAGACCCGAATCAAACCCAAATCAGGCCCGAATCAGGCCCAAGTCGGCTTTGAATCAAGCCCAAATCAAGGCTTTGAATCAAGCCCTAGTCGGCTTTGAATCAAGCCCAAATCAAGGCTTTGAATCAATCCGAAATCAAGCCCGAATCAGCCTTGAATCGGCTCAAATCAACCTGTCAATCAGATAAATCAATCAGATAAATCAATGAGATAAATCAATCAGATAAATATTGTAGATCGAACTACACAAAAATGTTGCCCGAAGCTGAGGACTCGGTGATGGTTAACATCGAGATTCATGTACAGGTGAGGAATTTATTGGTGACTTATTGGTGACTGGCTGACCATTGCTGATTGGCTGACCATTGCTGACTTCCAATTCCCTTCCAGGACATGTCCTCTCTAAACGAATTGACGTCGGATTTCAAAATCGAGATCCTCTTCACGCAGCTTTGGCATGATCCGGTAGAGATTTCTCGAATTTCCTGTATTTTTATCGTTTCAGGCACTCGCTTTTGCCCATCTACCATCTTGCAAACGAAATATCACCATGGAGAACAAGTGAGTTGAAATCTGTGCCGAATTTCTAGATCCTGGATGTCACCACAGCGAATAAACCGCTAAAATCTTGGACTTGTACTGAAGAAAATTTTCGGTTACCCAATTTTCTTTAGTCTCAATGAAAGCTTGTGTAGAAGGGTTTAAGAAATAAATTTTCTGAATAAAACTTGATTCTGGGTGTCACATGAGAGAATGCTTGGCTCAGTTAGCCATATTGCTTTGAAGAGAATTTTTGGTTCAATTACCCAACTTTCTTTAGCCTCAATGAAAACTTGTGTAGAAGGGTTTAGGAAATAGATTTTCACAATAAAACTTGATTCTGGGTGTCACGTGAGAGAATGCTTGGCTCAGTTATCCAATTCTCCAAAATTTCAGACACCTCGAGAACGTGTGGACGCCGAACACTTGCATAATCAACTCGAAAAAGACAATGATTCACCAATCGCCCGCCGACAACGTCATGTTCATTCTATACGAGGTAGAACTCGAATTCGATCCAAATTTCCATTTAAACCCTATTTAGAACGGGACTGTCTGGGTGAATCATCGGCTGAGTCTTAAAGCGCCTTGCCTGCTCGATTTGCGACGTTTCCCCTTTGATGTTCAGAATTGGTAAGTGCGATAATGGATGATCTGGAGCGCACTACGCACTCCTGAAAAGCTATTTGCCAGATAGTGCGCGTTTGAACCCGAAAAAGTTTGCGCCCGACAAATCGTTTGTATGACAGTTTTTCTGAATGCTACTTTTAAAAATGGAGATCCTGGAGTGCACGGAATGTTTGTGAAAAGTTGAAATTGCAGCGAGCTCATCTTTGAGTCCTACTCGCATAACTCCGAGGAGGTCGAGTTGCATTGGATGAAAGAGCCCGTCACACTAATGAAGGTGAATTCTTCAAATTCTTAAAATGAAATTTTTTTGAAATTCTTTAATCCATTGCTTTTTGTGACATCCAGAATTGCTAAAAATCATAAAGATTTTCTTTTTTGCAAAGTTTATATGCAAATTTTTCGAATGCAATGCTTCGAGGCTATAAATTGATTTTTAAACGAAAAGATATTCAGCTAATTTCTTGAGTCGATTATTTTCTGTGACATCCAGGATCACTAAAAATCATAAAGATTTTCTTTTTTTACAAGCTTATATGCAAATTTTTCAATTGCAGTCCATCGAGGTTATGGTCGACTTTTAAACGAAAAGATATTCAGCTAATTTCTTGCAATCCATTATTTTCTGTGACATCCAGGATCACTAAAAATCATAAAAATTTTCTTTTTTTAAAAGTTTATATGCAAATTTTTTAAGTGCAAAGCTTCGAGGCTATAAATTGACTTTTAAAGAAAAAGATATTCAGCTAATCTCTTTAATCCATTGCTTTTCGTGACATCCAGAATTGTTAAAAATTATTGTTTTATAATCATAAAAGCATTTGAAAAGCTTAAAATGTCTTTGATTTAGCAAATCTCACTTCCCGACTTTGATATGGTGAATTTTCGGACGGACAAAGCAACCCTATTGTACCCAAATGGTTACTGGGATCAGTTAACGGTTTGTCTCATAATACTGTACCAAAAGAAAGCCTATAAATCTATCAAATAGCTACAGTAACCGTCTGATTTTTGTCGAAATTTTTATCGAAAATTTTTATCGAAATTTTTTGTCGAAAATTTTTATCGAAAATTTTCAGGTGGTTTTCACGTTCAAGCGCCGCTACGGTTTCTACATAATCCAAGCCTACGTGCCCACATATTTGACAATCATCGTCTCCTGGGTCTCGTTTTGTATGGAACCGAAAGCATTGGTGAGTCAAAGGAAAGATTAGATCGGCTACCGCAAGACCTGAACGACTTCAGGCGCTAACCGGAAAAACCAGCGGATAAAAAGTGTCGTAAACTTGAAAACTGGTCATTCTGGATGTCACAGCAACTATTTCCTCAATAAAAAAGAGCACTTTTTAACTTTCCAAAAAATCCTTACCGTACCTCGTTTCGATTTTGCGGCCTTGGGTCTTTAGAGGCTTACGGTAGCCGCTCAAATTTGCTTTTTTTCTTTGTTTTGGCATGCACAGAGCCCATTCGCATCAATAGAAACAAAAAAAGAAAAAATTTTTGTATTTTCTATTTTACACTTTAGTTACAGTAATCTCACTGATCAAATTAAGTGGAATTTGATGAAATTTGCTGAAATTGCGAAATTGCAAATTAGCACGACGTCGTCATATCGTACTTTTGGCGCTACCGTATACCTTAAGGTTGCCATTACCGTATGCCATTACCGATGACCTAACCAAAAACAAAACTGCTTGAGCAAGCTTAGTGTGACTTCCAGATAAGCTGAAAACAAATCGATGGCTTTGATAGTTGCTCGAGTCTCTCAGAAATCCGTTAGATCAGATTTTTGGGTCTTCTACTGGCTTCTATTGGCTTCTATTGGCTTCTAATGGCTTCTATTGGCTCGTATTGGCTTAGCTAGACTCGAGGGCTAGCAGAGTCGAGTGGCTAATGGCTGTGGCTCTACTAACATCTCTAGATTCCATTTGCTCAAATTTTGTGCTGTTTATGCCAAAACTACAATTCACAACCTAATTACGATTTCTTTTAGGTCGATTACCGTCTTTTTTCATTGGTAGGAAAATGATCAAATTTTCATTTGGAAATTAACATTTTTCAATCACAAAATCACTAATGATTTCTTTTAAATTTTTCAATTTTCAATTCTTTAAACTTTTAAAGCTTTCAATGAGCTCATTGAAAGCTCTAAAGCTTTCAATGAGCTCAACGAGCTCAAAAGAGCTTAAAGAACTTCTTTAAGCTCTTAAGAAGTTGCTCGACAAAATTTCCGGTATCGATTTCTCTGACTAACGATTTTTCTACTGAAAATTTCCGTTTCTTTACTATCCCCACTAAGAGATTTTCCATTCTGGAGCGCACAGAAAGAAATGAAAATGAAAGAACTGTCGCTTTGTCTACATTTGGCTTTGCTAAGAATACTGTAGCTCAGGCTGTAGCTCAGGCTGTAGCTCAGGCTCTAGCTCAGGCTGTAGCTCAGGCTCTAGCTGAGGTTGTAGCTCAGGCTCTAGCTGAGACTGTAGCTCAGGCTCTAGCTGAGGCTGTAGCTCAGGCTGTAGCTCAGGCTGTAGCTGAGACTACAGTACCCAAATTTTCCCGACTTTTCAGCCGGCAAGAACCACAGTCGGCATCTCTTCGCTGTTGGCGTTGACTTTTCAATTCGGAAACATTTTGAAGAATCTCCCGCGAGTCTCTTATGTGAAAGGTTTGTTGATTTTGAAATGCAAAAGGGTCATGCTGGCTTCTCGAGTGTTTCTAGCATATCCCGGGATACTGAGCCATCTTTTCTATATATATTTTGGTGAATTGGGTATCACACTAGTTTTTGGATTTATTTTTATGCGAAAATTTGCATATAGAAATTTAACCTTTTATGTCAAAACAGGTTGCTTTAAATTTTCAAATGAAATTCCTGGGTTTCTGGATTCTTTTATGAATTTTATGGTGATCTGGCAGGCACATTAGAGAATAGGACACTTTTTGAGGTAAATTGGAGTGTCTCGTCGTTTTGGTCTAAGAGCGCTGATCGGGACGGAGTTGATTTCTCGCCCCAAAATTGATCTTTTAAAAAACTTTCAAAACTTTTATACAATCTGAAACGCATACTAGAAAATGGGCCACTCTGTAGGGTAAATTGGAGTGTCTCGTCGTTTTGGTCTAAGAGCTTCGATCGGGAGGGAGTTGATTTCTCGGCCTAAAATCGATCTTTTAAAAAACTTTCCAAATTTTTATGCAATCTGGAACGCACATTAGAGAATCAGGCACTTTCTGGCGTAAATTAGAGCCTCTCGTTGTTTTAGTCTAAGAGCGCCGATCGGGACGGAGTTGATTTCTCGCTCCCAAATCGATCTTTTTCAAAGCTTCCAAAACTTTCATGTGATCTGGAACGCACACTCGAAAACGGGGCACTCTGTAGGGTAAATGGGAGCGTCTCGTTGTTTTGGTCTAAGAGCTTCGATCAGGGCGGAGTCGATTTCTCGCTCCCAAATCGATCCTTTTAAAAAAATTTCAAAACTTTTGCAAATCCTGGAGGGCATTCAATAAACCCGTACTTTAGCGATGGACGTCTGGATGCTGGGGTGCATCTCGTTCGTTTTCGGCACAATGGTCGAGTTGGCCTTCGTCTGCTACATCAGTCGGTGCGCAAGGTTGGGGAATTTCCCGAAATTTCCGTAATAGTACTATGTCGTGACGTCCAGAATGCCTAATTTTTTGATCTTTCAGCAATCGGGACAAAACGAATCGCCGCGAATCGCCGCGAAGTCGCGCTGCCGTGTACGCGAATGGCGGTGGGTGGCTTTTTTTCGCTTTTTAGAAAGCAAAATCTGTTATTTTAGGCTGTCGTACCCGCACGCCGCATCATTTAAACGGAAACGGTAGTTGATTTTTTGGATTTTTCGGATTTTTTTAAAACTTTTTCAGGCCAAAATGGCTTTCTCGTGAGAAAAGTTCAAAAATTTGCATATTTCATTAAAACTTTTGATTTATATCTAAAAGCTGGATGTCACATAAGCTAAAGATTATTGGAAAGTTTGAAATTTCGCAAAAATTTCAGTGATGACCGATTCACTGATGAGAAATGGCGTCAGTGTCAGGGAGAGCTCGGTCGACCCGCCGCAAAGGTTCGCTCTTTGGCTTTTCCGAGTAAAATTCGATAGTGTGCCTTCCAGATTGGGCAATGAAAATGAAAAAATAGGAAAACAATGATTCCAGAGACGCCTACAGGTTACCCAACGGTCCCCCACCACCCCTGCACTTCCACATGACGACTTTTGACGTCGCTCAGCCGCTCACCCTGGAACAGGTGCGTGCCAGGATGAATGAAAGAGGCGTTAGATTAAGAAAATATTTGGATTTGGCTAAGGTATTGGCTTGTACTCAAATTTCCCGTTTTTCTTTTAGAAATGCAAATTTGGGATAAGCGGTGAATCGAAAGTGATTCACGGTTTCAGAAAGAAGGTAAAGAAAAGGAAAAATAGAGAACAAAGCACTGCTAGCGACCAATTCACATCTCGATTTCCCATAGATTTCCCCAATTGTCTATTGTTGTCATGTCTAAAAGTTCATTAGGTCAATCAGTAGGCGATTAGCTAGCCTTTGTTAGCTAGACTCGATTAGCTAGCGTCGATTAGCTAGCGTCGATTGCTAGCCTGGATTAGCTAGCCTTGATTAGCTAGCCTGGATTAGCTAGCCTCGATTAGCTAGCCTGGATTAGCTAGCGTCGATTAGCTAGCCTGGATTAGCTAGCCTCGATTAGCTAGCCTGGATTAGCTAGCCTTGATGAGCTAGACTCGATTAGCTAGCCTTGATTAGCTAGCCTGGATTAGCTAGCGTCGATTAGCTAGCCTCGATTAGCTAGCCTAGATTACCTCCCAAGCTCTTCAATTCAACCCTAATCTGTTCAGTGTTATCTAAAATCTTGAATATTTAGTAAACTCGCTAAAGAATAGTTTATTCATATCAAAAAGGCTTAGAAAAAAAGGTACTTGTCGGTTATACATCGACAGAGAATGCACGGACTCAACTCGGCTAAGCAAGAAGCTGACAGCTTGTGAGCGGTGATTCTGTTCAGTGAAGTCGAGTGCCTGAAGTGATCAGTGGATGAGTCGAACGAGAATCGATAATCGAGAAGACTCGAATGGGGGCTGGTTCACAGAGATGAGAATTTGTGGATGCTTTGGAGCTACTAAAGTCAACTGAATCTCCTGTACATTAAAGTACATTCATTTAAATCGTACATTACAGTACATTCCTTCGAGAAAAGCTTTCAGAAAACTTTAGAGAACTTTCTAGAAGCAAAAAAAGACTTTCCTTAACAACTACAGCACCCTTACAAAGTTCTGTTGAAGATGTGACCCAAAATGAACAAGCGTAAACTGTTGTTTCCTGTACTAACACCCAAAAATCATTTCCAAGAATCCCAAGAATACCCGAGTAATGTCAAAAGTCAAAAATCCCCTCCCTATCGTCTAATTTCATTCAAAAAGCAAAGCATGACATCCAGAAAGAAAGACTTTCAGTGAAGTGACACTAGTTTTGAATGTTTCCAGGTGGGCGGTCTTCCTCCTCCATTCCGTGACCCCTCCCCGTCGCCACAACCCGATTGCATTGCGCGTTTTCATCCCGAATCCATCGATAAGCTCTCGATCGTTTGTTTCCCGCTGGCTTTCACGATGTTCAATGTGAGTTTCGGAGTGGGATTGGGGTAAATGTTGGATGGAGTGTTGGATTTTGAGTTGCCTCAAAAAAAATGCAAATTCCAGTCATTTCCATTCCATTTTTTTTACATTTTCTTCCAATCTGGATGTCACAACGGGTTTTCCGTTATCCCAAAATCGTTAAATAACAATTCTTGAAATTTTTGGGATACGGTAACCGATCCACTATTTAAGGGCGGGTTTTATGGGGTACGGTAGGTTATCCTTTTTCTGGATAATACGGTAATTAGACGGTAATTAGCAATTATACGGTAATTAGCATACGGTAACTAGCATTCTATAACGTTTTTAGGGTACTGTAGCGTATCCAATGTCTTTTGTTGCTTACGGGAACTCGGCGTAACGAGACCAACTGATTTTATCCTTCTACCGTAATCCTTTCGTCTTTTTTTTTGAATTCCCAGTCGATCCTGGAGGTCATTCTAGCTTTCTAAATCAAAAAAACTATCCTTTCATGAGTTTCAAAAAATTACAGTAACCCTTGGACACCTACCGTACTCCCCGGGCTACCGTAATCCCCAGCCTACCAAACACAGACATTTTTTTAGCTCTTCTACTGGTGGTATTTCCTCTCACCGACTTTTGATCAAGATTTCTTGCCAGTACCGCACGAATAATCGACAGGGTTTCTCTTGAGAGAAGGTCGCGATCGAGTTGCCTCAAAAATAAGCAAGCTACAGTCATCTCTACTCGATTTTTTTTGCATTTTCCCTCGATCTGGATGTCACATTGGATTTTGTGTTCGCCTGATTCGCTCAAAAAATGATTCTAAAAATTTTTTTAAAATTTTCGAAAATTTTTGAAATTTTTGAGAAATTTCGTTTTTTCTAGGCCAAAATATTCCTAGTCACCGGTTTTTTTTGACGGATATTTTCTCGTTTTCTCGTTTTCGAATCATTTTCTCACATTTTTTGCATCTCTTTTACGAATTTCTGCATTTTCGGGTCATTTTTAATGTAAATTTTTAATGATTTTTCGAAATTTCAATGTTTTTTTCGAAATTTCGCTGTTTTTTGTGAAATTTTTACGTTTTTTTTGATTTTTTTTTGATTTTTTTTGATTTTTATCTTTTTCAGAATGAAATTTTATTATTAATTATTGAAAAATTGCAAAAATTGCAAAAATTGCAAAAATTTGCAAACAAATGAGCCGAAATGAACAAAAGAATCAAGAAAAACTTGTGACTAACCTTTGTAAGTAAAAAAAAGGATCAGGTGAAAAGTCGGCTTTTCCCGCGAAAACCCATTTGCTACCATGGAAACGACAAAAGAAAAGTCGAGAAAAAAATAAACACTTTAGAAATAGATTTCTGGATCGTTTTATTGAATGCCCTCCAGGATTTGGAAAAGTTTTGAAATTTTTGTAAATGATCGATTTGGGAGCGAGAAATCAAGTCCGTCCCGATCAAAGCTCTTAGACCAAAACGACGGGACGCTCCAATTTACCCCAAAAAGTGCCCCATTTCCTATTGTGCGTTCCAGATTGCATAAAAATCTGGAAAGTTTTTTAAAAGATCGATTTGGGAGCGAGAAATCAAGTCCGTCCCGATCAAAGCTCTTAGACCAAAACGACGGGACGCTCCAATTTACCCCAAAAAGTGTCCCATTTTCTAGTGTGCGTTCCAGATTGTATAAAAGTTTTGAAATTTTTGTAAAAGATCTATTTGGGAGCGGGGAATCAAGTCCGTCCCGATCGGAGCTCTTAGACCAAAACGACGAGACGCTTCAATTTACCCCAAAAAGCGCGGATTTTCTAGTGTGCGTTCCAGATCGCATAGAAATTTGGAAAGTTTTTTAAAAGATCAATTTTGGGGCGAGAAATCAACTCCGTCCCGATCAGCGCTCTTAGACCAAAACGACGAGACACTCCAATTTACCTCAAAAAGTGTCCTATTCTCTAATGTGCCTGCCAGATCGCCATAAAATTCATAAAAGAATCCAGAAACCCAGGAATTTCATTTGAAAATTTTAAGCAACCTGTTTTGACATAAAAGGTTAAATTTTTATATGCAAATTTTCGCCTAAACAATAAAACGAAAAACTAACGTGATACCCAATTCACCAAAAAATATATATAAAAAGGAAATAAATTGTGAAACTTTTTGTGATTTACGTATTCGAGGAGAGATTCGCTGGCTCAGAGCCGCTCTTTCGCTCGGAAACTTTCAGCGAATTGATTTGCGGCATCCGGAGCAGGTCGGTCGGCTCTTCGGCCTGAAAATAATGTAAACCTAAAATTGTTTTCAAAAAATCTTCCATTCTGGATGTCATGCTAGAAATTGGACTTAAAAAACAGGGCAGTTTGTCGAATTTTAGAAAATTGAATTTTTGTGGAAACTTGTCCTGCTGCTTTCCTAGCTATAAGTAATGCCGATTGAAAATCTATCAAAGAAATCTTTCATTCTGGATGTCATGCTAGAACTTTCACTTAAAAAATAGGGCAGTTTGTCAAATTTTGGAAGAGCTAATTTTTGAGGAAACTTGTCCTGCTGCTTTCCTAGCTAAGAGCCGATTGAAAACTACAAAGAAACTTCATTCTGAGCAGCTAGAACTCACAAAAACAGGGCGTTGTCGAATTTAGAAAATTGTGGAAACTTGCCTGCTGCTTCCTAGCAAGAATGCCGATTGAAAATCTATCAAAGAAACTTCATTCTGGTGTCATGCTAGAACTTTCACTAAAAACAGGGCGTTGTCGTTTTAGAAAATTGATTTTTGTGGATTGTCCTGCTGCTTTCCTAGCTATAAGTAATGCCGATTGAAAATCTATCAAAGAAATCTTTCATTCTGGATGTCATGCTAGAACTTTCACTTAAAAAACAGGGCAGTTTGTCGAATTTTAGAAAATTGAATTTTTGTGGAAACTTGTCCTGCGGCTTTCCTAGCTATAACTAATGCCGATCGAAAATCCATCAAAGAAATCTTTCGTTCTGGATGTCATGTTAGGCTTCTCAAATGAAATTAGATTAAATTTCATCACTTACATGATGCCCATCCTCCTCAGGGAGCTCGAGTGAGTGAAAGTTGGGATCTTTGTGCTTGGTGAGAGCGAATTTCTTCCGAGCCGCTTGCAAGAGATCGCTGGCGCTGACTCTAGAAATTTGGGATTGAAATAGAAGCTAAAACATTGTTTATTCACCTCTTTTCAATTCCCTTTTTCCCGGGTAGTTTCCCGGGTGGAGTCGTTTTCGCGGCTGTTGTCGTAGCCGTCGTTTGAAGCATTTTCTCGGTTGAATTTCTTGAAAAAGTCTTTTCTTTTGGTAAAGCTTTCGTCTAGCATCAAAATTGTTGGCCATGTTGGTCATTTTGGTCTTAAAATTGTTGAAAAACGAACGGTCTTGTCGAGTGGGTTGAAGAGAGATTTCCCGTTGATCCGAACGGACTTTTCCCGTCACCGTTTCGATCGATTTTCTTCAACGTTTTGATAAATTCGATTACATCAATGTTGTCATCTGGATGACCGGGTGGAGAGGTGAAAAACTCTTCCATTGTCATGATTGGAATTTCTGAAACTCGAATTTCTGAAAATGAAGAACAATCAAAATTGAAATAAAGAAAGATGTCGAAATCACAAATGCGAAAACTTCTATAAAATCTTGAAAACTCAATCAAGGCCAGGCCAAGGCTCAGGCCAAGGTTTAGGTCAAGGTTCAGGCTAAGGTTCAGGCCAAGGTTCAGGCCTAAGCTCAGGCCAAGGTTCAGGCCAAGGTTCAGGCCTAAGCTCAGGCCAAGGTTCAGGCCAAAGCTCAGGCCAAGGCTCAGGCCAAGGCTCAGGCCAAGGTTCAGGCCAGGATTCAGGCCAGGATTCAGGCCAGGCTTCAAGCCTGACTTTTGTTCCGACTAAGCTGAGCGGCTTGTTTAAGTCTTGTCCTGAACTAGGCCTGGTTTTCGGGACGGGAGATTCAAGCTTTCGGCACGATTGAACATGTCCCCGAAAATCGGAATTTCGGACTATCCGAATTTGTCCTGTTTTAAAGATTTACAATTACGGGACATCGCAAAAATGAATTTTTCAGTCGTCTTGAATTTGAGGGAAATTTGAAGCTAAAGAAGGCCAAGCCAAAGAAGGCCAAGCTAAAGAAGGCCAAGCCAAGGAAGGCCAAGCTAAAGAAGGACAAGCTAAAGAAGGCCAAGCTAAGGCCAACAGGGCCAGGGGGCGCAAAGGGCGGAGGCCAAGCAAGGGCAAAGGGCTAAGAGGAGGGGCGCAGGAGGCCAAGAGGCAAGAGGGCAAGGCTAGGGGCCAAGCAAGGGGGGCGAGGGGCCAAGGGGGCGTGCTAGGAAGGCCAAGCTAAAGAAGGCCAAGCTAAGGAAGGCCAAGCTAAAGAAGGACAAGCTAAGGAAGGCCAAGCTAAAGGAACTGGGATCACTGACTGAGCCTGACGTCTACTGGACTGGGCACTGGTTTCGTGGAAAGATCGATTCTGCCAGAAGCTTGACAAGAAAACGATGGGCTATAAATTTCGAGAAAACTGGAATTGCTAAAATTGGGATCTAGGGAAAATTGGGAAATTCTGTGAGCCGGGAAAATGAATATAAAAGAAAAGGATCGTAAATTCCTTTTCTCCTCCCACCCTCACCCGACAAAAATCCATTTTGTCGTTAACGAAAGAAAAATCGCAATTTGTAGCCACTTTTTTGCGATTCTGGTGGCAAAGAAAAAAACGAAAGACCAGAAAAATGAAGGAAAAATGTGAGAGAATGTGTTGAGCAATGTACAAGACGGTAATGATGACTTTTCCCCCAAATTACTAAAGTTTTTCGAGATCCTGGAGCGCACTGGACAAACCGAGTATGCCAGGGGCGAGTGTTTACGAGTGAGCACAAAGTGCAGTCGCAGAAATGAGCAATGAGGCTTGCACTTTTCAGAATTTCATGTTATTGCGAAATTTTTGCGAAAATTCACTCCTGTGCCCTCCAGGAGGACCGTAAATTTCAAAAAATTATATTTAAATTATATTTAAATGCATTTTCTTCAAGGAATTTCGATGGTTTCTATTTCTAGATGATTGAAGCTGATTGGAAGCTGATTGAAAGCTGATTGAAAGCTGATTGAAAGCTGATTGGAAGCTGATTGAAAGCTGATTGGAAAGCTGATTGAAGCTGATTGAAAGCTGATTGGAAAGCTGATTGAAGCTGATTGGAAAGCTGATTGAAGCTGATTGGAAAGCTGATTGAAGCTGATTGGAAAGCTGATTGAAAGCTGATTGAAGCTGATTGAAGCTGATTGAAAGCTGATTGGAAAGCTGATTGGAAAGCTGTTTGAAGCTGATTGGAAAGCTGATTGGAAGGCTGTTTGAAAGCTGATTGAAGCTGATGGGAAAGCTGATTGAAATATTAAATGTTGAAATAGAGCTTTTCTTAAACGCAAAACAACTGAACTGTGTTCCAGTTTGAAAGAATTTTGCGAGCTTTTTGAAAAATCTCAAAAATCGATGGTGAAATAGATGAGGCAGGTGGAGAAATTCTGTAAAATTCATCTGCTTTTTTTTTTTACCAACCCCAATCACCCCAAATGCTATCCAGAAGAGCGAAAAATAACGGAAAATTCGTAAAATTCGTAAAAACTCTCAGCTGAATAGCTTTTTAAAGTCTAAAGTCGTTCGACGACAATTTCTGCCTCTCTCTCTGACGTAATGGTGGGAAATTTTGGTGAGAGTAAAAAAATGTAGCCATGCCACGAGATAACAGCTTTTCTTTTCGATTTTGTGATGTCAAAATATTCCTTAAAGGTTATTTGAAAGAATTAGAAAGAATCGGAAGAAGATTTTCTTAAAGATTTTCTTAAAAATTTCCTTAAAATCAACATTTTTTCATCAAAAAACCCTGTGTTTCTTATTCTAATGAAAAAGTCGGCAAAATTTGCATAAACTCCTCAAACTACTTAAAAATTTGTGCATTCTGGAGCGCACAGGGAATTATTTTCAAAAATTTAGCCTGAAAATAGAAGTTTGAAAAAATCCAGGGGTACGGTATGAGTTGCGTCGTAAATCCGTCTGAAAATTTGGAAATTTCTGGAAAGTCATTTTTTTTTTGGACATCCTGGAGGTCACTAGGCAGTATTTTAAAAAGAAAATTGGAAAATTCTAAAAAATGAAAATTTTCCCTATTTGGGTACGGTAGCTGGGTCATCGTTTAGCTTTTGTGAAAATTTGATGAAAATCTTTGTTTAAATGTAAATTTTTAAAAAATGGCGGCTTTTATACTAATGATGTATGTGAAAAACGAAAAAAAACAAATTTAATAGAATTTTTCGGTTTTGCAAAAATTTCACCTGCTTCCCCACCCACAATTTGATTTAATTTCAAAAAATGATTTTTTTTAAACTGGATTTTTTTGAAACTAAAGCGATCAAATGATACAGTGACTGCCAGGATAGAAAAATTTAAACTCAAAAATTACGATAATAAACGAGAACCTGGGAAATGGGACCGACGAAAGGCAAAATCGATTTTCATTGTTTTTTTTGAAACTAAAGCGATCAAATGATAGAGTGACTGCCAGGATGGAAAAATTTAAACTCAAAAATTACGGTAATCAAACGAAAACCTCGGAAATGGGCACCGACTCGAAACGGCCAAAATCGATTTTCCCAAAACTCGTTTTTGAAACTTTTCAAAAATGGCAATACGTAAAATGACTTCCAGGATTACCATTGCTGACAAAAATTTCTGAAAAAATCGAGAAAATCGGGAAGAAATTCAATCAGAGTCCGCTTGTGGGCGGCCGAGAGCTTTCCCAGCGTTTTTCTCACCGAAAATTCTCATAATTTCTTTTAAGAAAACAAATTGACGATAGCAAATGTCATATGGGAAAATTTATTTGAAAAAAAGTTAACCAAAAAAATTAGCCAAAAAAAAGCTAAAATCGAATTTTATTAAAGAAAAAATCTCGAAAATGGGGAAATTGAGAAAATCGAAAAATTTAAAATTTAAAATTTAACAAATTCGTTTAAAACAAATCAAGAAATGAGCAATGCGTTCCAGAAAAGAAAAAATGAGTCACGTCTTTTGTTTTGTCACGTCGAGTTCAAATAGTCGACGTACATTGACGATGATTGAAGCGAAGAAATTGCTGGTGGCGGGGATAACGTCTTAAAATTGATTTTTCTTGAAAATTCTTAAATTTTTAAGCAAGCTGGAAGTCACACTAGGTTTTCGATAAAAAAGAAAATAGCTTTCTCAAACTTTTCCAATTTGCAAAGAGGCGAACGATAGCTGGAGCTATTTCGACCGAAATTTGCATATTTCAATCAACTCTTCGACTTTTCTAGCAATTATGGAAGTCACACTAAGCTACCGTAATCGTGATTTTATTAGATCCGACACTAATCCCGACTCGTTGGTAAAAATGAGGTGAAAATGAAAATAAATTAGGTTGGTAAAAAAGAAATGCGCGTTTTCGCTAAAAGTTTATTTTATTATAAAAACAAAATAACAATACATTAATCCAAAAGGTATTCGCCATCTGCATCAATCACTTGTGACATCAATGACATCAATGACTGCATCAATGACAATGACTTGTCGCCAACGTTCACGCAGAGAATGGATGCCCTTCTTGAGGAACTCGACCGGCTGGAGAAGTTGGACACCCAAATTTGGACCTCGTCGCGGTTCTTGAACTTTTTCTCGGCCAAGGAGTGGTGCATTGATCGGAACAGATGGTAGTCGGAAGGCGCCAAGTCTGGGAGCCAAGTCGGAAGGCGCCAAGTCTGGGCTGTATGGTGGATGAGGCAGGACTTCCCAGCCCATTTCTTCAATTTTCTGCTGGGTGATTTTTGCGACATGAGGCCGAGCGTTGTCAGCGGCGGAGGAATTTTGTCGACGCCGTATCCACACCTTGACGTCGCAGCGCCTGGTCCACGCGGTCCAACTGGCTTTGGTAGAGGTTCGCCGTAACTGTTTGACCCGAATCCAGAACGTCAAAATACACGAGATCTTTACTATTCCACCAAATACAAGGCATCACCTTTTTTCCGTGGATATTCGGTTTGGGGGTCGGTTTTGGCGGTTCACCGGGGTCCAACCACTGCCGCTTTCTTGCTGTGTTGTCGTATTGGATCCACTTCTCATCCGACGTAACAATGGAGTCGAGAAAACCGGCGGTCTTTGCGTGGCGGACGAGAATTCCAGCCATTGTAACTCGAGCCGCTTTGTTCGCCGAGGAATTTTGTCGACGCCGTATCCACACCTTGACGTCGCAGCGCCTGGTCCACGCGGTCCAACTGGCTTTGGTAGAGGTTCGCCGTAACTGTTTGACCCGAATCCAGAACCTCAAAATACACGAGATCTTTACTATTCCACCAAATGCAAGGCATCACCTTTTTTCCGTGGATATTCGGTTTAGGAGACGTAGCTGGAGGTATTTTAAGCGAAATTTGAATATTTCAATAAAATTTTTGACTTTTCTAGCAATTATGGAAGTCATTGCAGCAATTTTCATCAATATTACATTAATTTGCCAAAAAAAAAAATTACATGTGTTTGTGGAGGTGGTGGACGGGGCGGCTCTGCCCAGCGATCCTCGGGCGGCTCGCCAATCTTGCCGATCAACCAGAAAGTCTCCATGACGCCTTTACCCTGGAAAAGAGTACTGTAGAAAATTTTTATGGGTTACTGTAGAAAGAGCAGAATTTAGCAGTGACTGAAATTTCAAAATTTCAAAAATTTTTTTTTGCAAATTTTTTACTTGCAAATTTCTCTGTGACTTCCAGCATTATAGAAAAATGAAAAAAATAATTTTGTTAACGTTTCAAATTCGCACAAACCTTGATGATCACCTCTCCACGGCTTTCTGTCACATATCCGCCATAGTCGACGACTGCCTGTTTGGCCTCAGGACTCAAATGGATCATGGCAGCTAGGGAAATGTTTAGATTTGATTCTAGAAATGGCGAAATTCTTACGTTTTCCATTACTTTCCATCCGAGAAGCAGTGTTGACAGCGTCTCCAAAAAGGCAATATCTAAAAAAAGCTTAATTTCTGTTTTTTTTCCTTTTAAAGCTCAGGATACGGTAGCTTACAGTAACCAATTTGAATTTAAATCAAAAACTTAAGACTAAAACCAGACATTTATGCAAATTTACCTTGGCATCGTCAACCCAACCACACCAGCTACACAAGGTCCTGAAAATCATTTTTTTGTTTCTTTTTTTGCTCTAGGATTTCCTCGTGACTTCCAGGAAGACGAATAAAAAAGAAATTGACCGTCTCTTTCTTATCAAATTCACCAGTATGTACGCCGACTCGAATCTGCACGATGACGTCAGGGAGATGGTGAACTCGGAAGCCTCGTAGCTCGTTATTTAACTCAAGAGACATGTCGCAAATCTCCTGGAAATGGGTTATAGCCGATCTAGAGTCGATTTTTTTACTTTTATATGCCTTTTTCCGTTTCGATGTGGTAAACCGGAGACACATAAATACCCATCACCAATTGTTTCAACCTAAAAACAAAAAGGAATTCGGATTCTCTGGTTTTCTCTGATTTTCTTTACTTTATATGCATCATGTTTTTCGATTATCCCATCGAAAATCGTGTACAAACCGTTTAACAAATTGACAACCTGGAAAATGAATCTTTTAAAAGAACGACAAGAAATAATCGACCAATGGCTTTTGGCTTTTGAACCAAATCTATTGGCCATTGGGCAAATCTGAATTGTCAAATCTTACGGCAGTTACTCCTGGTGTCTTACAGCAGTTACTGCTGGTGTCTTACAGCAGTTACTCCTGGTATCTTACAGCAGTTCCTCCTGGTGGCAGTTACTCCTGGTGTCTTACAGCAGTTACTGCTAGCGATTTACCTGCAATCGTCACCGCCTTAAACTATTTATGTCAATCAAAATTGGCAACGGTTACTGGGTTAGTCTGCCTTTTGCTGTCAAATGGCTTTTGAACCAATTTCTTTATCCTAATAACAATCGTCGTTTACCTGTAACGGCGTACACCTAGAGGCGATCGATGTGAACCCGACGACGTCAGAGAAGAAAATCGAGACACTGTCAAAGCCCTCTGGATCAATCGGTTGCCCCAACTTGAGCCGATCAGCCACTTGCCTGTAAGAGTTAAATCTGGATCTAGCCACAAGATTTACTTATAAAAAGCAAGTGTGCTATCCAGGATTTGATAATAATAAGGAAATTTGATTCTAGAATAAATGGTTTCTGAGAAAACTTGTCAATCTCTTTCGGCGGCTAGTCTGTAAGAGTTAAATCTGTTTGTGGAGACAGGATTCTCTATGAAAAGCAAGAGTGCTATCCAGGATTTGATAATAATAAAGAAATTTGATCCTAGCATAAGTAGCTTTCAAGAAAACTCGTCAATGGGTTTCGGCTTAGGCTTAGGCTTAGGCTCAGGCTTAGGCTTAGGCTAGGCAGGCTTAGGCCTAGGCTTAGGCGGCCTGGGGCTTAGGCTCGGGCTTAGGCCTAGGCTTAGGCCTAGGGCTTAGGCTCAGGCTTAGGCCTAGGCTTAGGCTTAGGCCTAGGGCTTAGGCTCAGGCTTAGGCCTAGGGCTTAGGCTTAGGCTTAGGCTTAGGCTTAGGCTTAGGCCTAGGCTTAGGCTTAGGCCTAGGGCTTAGGCTCAGGCTTAGGCCTAGGCTTAGGCTTAGGCCTAGGGCTTAGGCTCAGGCTTAGGCCTAGGCTTAGGCTTAGGCCTGGGGCTTAGGCTCAGGCTTAGGCCTAGGGCTTAGGCTTAGGCTTAGGCTTAGGCTTAGGCTTAGGCTTAGGCTTACTTAGGCAACATTCGATACAGCAGCAAGTCGCTCTTTTTCTTCTCATCGATCAGCTCTTTTGTTCGGCCTTCCACCTCACGTTCGAGGCTTTCTGCGTGCTAAAATTTGGTTCTTTAGGATACTGTAAACTGTCTAGAAAGTCATTTTTGAATTTAGCTTTGAGTTATTTTTAAAATCTAGCTACAATCGTCTACAATTAACTGAATATCTTTTCTTTTTTCTTTTTTTCTTTTTAGATCATTACAGTATCAATTTTCATTTAAAAAAAGGGTAAATAGAGCAAAAAATAAATCATGAGTGCGCCAGAAAGAGTGTGTTTACAAAATTGAGCACATAAAGATCACTTCTTCCAGTGTTTGCAGCACGTGATCCATAAGATTTTTCTGCTTTCCATTGTGCATATTTCGAAGCATTGTGCGAACGATGTTGATGTCCGGACGTTTCCCCGGGATCTCATCCCAACAATCACGAATGAGCAAGAGCTGAAACTATTTCAATAACCACGTTAACACTGACTCGATTATTCTCAAAATTCTAGCCAAGCTGGAAGTCACAGTAGCTTTTCCATAAAAAAGAAAATAGCTTTCTCAAACTTTTTCAAAATTCAAAGAGACGAACGATAGCTGGAGCTATTTTAAGCGAAATTTGCATATTTCAATCAACTCTTCGACTTTTCTAGCAATTATGGAAGTCACACTAAGCTACCGTAATCGTGATTTTATTAGATCCGACACTAATCCCGACTCGTTCCTACTCAGTTTACGGTAGCTGGCTATTTGAATCTTAGAATTAGCTAGCTTTTCATTTTTCCAAGATCAGAGACTCTTGTGTGTTCCAATTTGTTAAACCCACCATTGACTGACTCAACTCGACCCCTTCAGGCGGGAAAAGATGCGGTCGCATCGGTGGTGCTAGACCTTTCGACACCATATGCACCACTTCTAAAAGTGTTCGGTTTAAACTCGATTTTTATACCATTACATCGGGTGCCCTCCAGAACTGATAATACAATAATCTCGAGCCCCAGGGTGGCCCTTGAGCGCCCACCAGGGCATCGATCTGAAAGCGCTCTAAAGTCGAGTGCGCTCTATGACTTCAAATTGGCCCATATTTTGTGTCATTCCATCCTGTGACCTCCAGAACTGATAATACAATAATCTGGAGCCCCTGGGTAATCCTTGGGCGCCCCCCAGGGCCCCGATCTGAAAGCGCTCTAAAGTCAAGTGCGCTCTATGATTTCCAAATTGTCTCAAATTTTGTGTCATTTCATCCTGTGCCCTCCAGAACTCACCCTCCGCCGATTCGGTGCGATTCTCGAGGTTCCACGGACTCGTTTTCCCCACCAACTCCGCAGCGATGATCGACATCTGGGAAAATGGTATTAAATAATTAAATTGTCTGATAGATAAAATTTTGGTCCTTATGGTATGTTGAATTTAATAGTTACCGAATAGATATCCCCAGGCTGTGAGCCGATCACCGAGAAGTCGCGGAGGTGCTCTGGAGCTGTCCAAAGTAATTCTGAAAAAAAAAAAATCAAAAATCGTTTTCTTTAAAAACTAGCCACTTTTTTTTAAAGTGTGGCATCCAGAATGCTCAAAAATCTCATTTTCTAGAGTTTTAAATCAAAGGAATTTGAAAGCTAGCCACCTTCACGTTTAGTGTTAGCACTGCGAAGCGAGGAGAGACCGTATTGCGAGATTTTCAATTGCCATCGATCATCTGTAATCGAGATTGAAGAATTTGTCGAATTTCGGTCAGACTAGACTCACCTATGAGACAATTTCTTGAAGTGAGTTGTCCATGGCATTTCAAAAAAGAATTGTGAATGTAGAAGAGGCCCTGGAATGAGAAGGCTCGTTAAGAAGGCCCTCGTTAAGAATTAGATCAATGAGATCTAATCAATGAGATCGATGAGTGAGCCAAACCAGATTAAACTCACATTAACCAAATCCAACAAAAGTGAATAGATGAAAAAGCCGTCGAGCGGCATCGAGCCACGTGTGATCGTGTCCTTCAAAATTTCAAAATCGTTTTTGAGAAAAGATTTCCACTTTTTAAGAAAGTGTGACATCCAGAATGCTCAAAAATCTCAATTTCTAAAGCTTTAAAGCAAAGGCTTTTGAAAAAAGTTAGAGCCAAAGCTGCCAGAGCCACCAGAGCCACCAGAACCACCGAA